TGATTGGCACAGAGGCAGGTGAAGCCACCGGCCCGCATGCATGGGCCGGTGAAATCCGACCACCTCGCCATAGGGAGCATTTCATCTTCGTACAGGAGCGCCATCGATTTTTTGTATTGATCGAGCATCTCTGTATCGACTTACCTTTTGAGTTTTGCTGAATATTGAGTCTTTCTGATAACTCATTCTCCATGTTTAAATATGAGTCATTCAATCAAGCCACCATTCACTCTGAATCGCCCTTTCATTTCCATTCATCTCACCCATACTTCATCGGGAGCTTCCTATTGAATAGTATGCAGAATGTGCCTTTCCATGCTTATATCATGGACTCTTCTTGAAAAATTCTTTTATTTCACAGTGATCTAGGTGCTGAAAGTGCTTTGCAGTCTGAATCATCCACTAGGCACAAAGATACAATCCGAAGTCGTTAACGGGGAAACATCTGCAATTACTTCTACTCTTCCGCTCCAGCTGACACTCCGTCAAATGAAAAAAGCATTAAATGAGTTATTTTTTTCGCATTTTGACGGCGAATGTACTTTGGGTAGTTCTTTCGAGTTATAAAAAATTGTGGCTATTAAGTATTTTTGTAATTGTGGCCAGCTATTCAGCTGCTGTCTAGAATTTTAACGGCTAACAGTTACTTTTTATAGCTAGTTGTCAAGTCGTAATTTGTACCCACATTCTAAAGTTGCTAACCTTTCGAGGTGTTTGCCTTTTTTGGAGTTTGGTAAAACAGAACTCACAAGAGAACCCTTCCGTCCGAACATTAGTACAAGCCTCAGAGAGGAGTTGGGCGGGTTCGTAAACTTTATGACGACATCACGGGCTCAGATGGCTAAGTAGCATATAGAATTCCCCAACCGGTAAGGTCCACCGATCACTTTTGGCTGAAGGCCTATTCAGAGGCTGGAGGGTCCTATTACACTCTAGGTGAATTATTCAACGAACCTTAACTCCTTTCAAACCGATCACTTTCTAATTTTTCAACTGTGTGCATGTACATGGCGTATGTGCTTATGTTTGCTTTCTCTTTGTTGTCCTGTCTGAAAGCTTAACCACTACTTCAGTTATTACCCCGACTTTTCAATATTTTTATTTAATTTTCATCCACAATTGAGCACGCAATTCATGTTTGATGCGTAAATTGGTCTCCAATGTCTCTTAAAAAGCACATAGAAGAGGATGAAGATATTCATTATTTCAAGTTTCGATTTCAGGCCTGTAACAGTGGTATCGACACTGGATATGTTGGTGGTCGACACGTCACTTCGTGAGTTTTACTTTAAACTATTATTCTAATTTTTTTACACAATATTGATAAAGGATGAAAAAAGCAAATCTTGGCGTGAGCTCAATCCAGGCATATTCAGCAGTCCCCACGGTAGCCAGACGACGTCGGGCACGAAGCCTTCCCGTTCGACGTAATGACTGTTCACAGTTTGTACGATTTCGTAGTCTACGAGAAGCGAAACCTGAAAGACGAGATCGACGTCGACCATTCAAAGTGGAAGTTGGTCAGTGGTATTTTAATTTTTTCAACCATTCAGTTATTTCTTTTTTTCAAACTTTCGAAACATTCTCAATGCCTCCGATAAATAATCCAAAATAAATTTTTTTCAGAGCCAGGATATTTCAAATTTTTCTTCTCTTAATTATCTTAATTTTCTCTCAATTCTAATTGGTTCGAAGGGTAAGAGTAGAAGGGCAGCTCGACTTAACTGGAGCATCATCACTGATCGCGTTGCTTATGCATTCCTCCTGTTAGCCTTGCGAAAGTAACTCTTAGTACAAAAGACATGTCTGTCTAACACTTTTCTCTTAGTACTTCAGAACATCCTTGATAGGTATAGAATATAACGAATTAGTAGCGGTTCTAGGAAAAGCAAACCGTAAAAGCGAGTTTAAATGCGGTCAAAAGCCCCTATTAATTGCCCTCTCGTGGCCTCATTCAGTGCGAAAGAATCGTCTACGTGATACCAATGTTCTGTGTAATGAGCATATTCAGCACCTGAAAAACAAGTACTATGTATGTAGTGCAAGACAGCGCAAAGGGATGGAAGTGGTGGGAACATCGTCCCCTAAAGGCCAGTATCCATGCTGTTTTTATACCCGTGGGCGGTAGAATCAGTTTTTATGTTACTCCATTTCATAGATTGCATCCAACCAGAGTCAAATCTCCATAAAATTTATAAAAGTATCGCGGGAATGAAAAATTACACGGACCCTTTTAGATTTTTCTTTTTCGTATGTTATATTTAGCTTTCACTTTTTTTTCTAAAAATTGCTCTCGTTACTGCATGACGTTTTAATTACTTTGATTAACATTATCATTATAATAATTAAGGAATTGCCATATTTCAGTGTCTATTCCGTCATCGACGGATTCAAAAGTCCGACGTCGGAAGAACATGAGAGAGCGAGCAAGGCAGCGTCTCGAATCCCAGGTAGGGCCTCGCGTTTTTTTTTGTTTTAAAAAAAGTCCTCTGTGTTCTGAAGGTAAGCTTTCTTGTATGGCTGTCAAGACTCAATTAAACCCGATTTCCGATTGGATTAAAATGAAATTTCGTTGCAAAAAAGGATTTTTTTTAGAAAGGAATGTGTTGTAGGGGCTAAAAGGGCCTTGGGGAAGAGAGGATCCTCACAAGAAAACATTAAATCCTGAGAACATGTCAAGGACGGAAAACTAGTACTAGGGAGTATGCCGTAGATTCTATTTCAAGCTAATCGATAATCGATTTCGAAAGCTTACATCGAGTAAGCGATCCACAAAGGTGGTACTAGTGTTGAGATGTACCTAAGTACCGCGTTTCCTGATTCGGATCAATTATTCTAGTGACAGAACAGTTGTCTGAGTGAATTTCTGAGAAGCCGTGGCTCTCAATCATGGGAAGGAAATCTTCGAAGAATAGGTGCCACGGACGCAATTACCGCGATTTTTATCGATTTTCTATCGATCTTTTCGCCAATACGTGTATATAAGGAGTGACAGAGATAATGTTCTTGAAAATAGAAATAGAATCTAGTCATTAAGTCGTTGTTTTCTCGATAGGGAAGTGAGACTGTTTTAGTCCTGAAGCGAAATACTTCATATTTCCCAATCTACGTGTAAAAATCGTGCTGTGGTCAGCCAGGTCAGTCCCTGTCTAAATTTAGAACACAGTATGCCATGACAATGAGTAAAAATCATATTCATCAATGTTCATTCAAAGCATCTTCCATTTTTTACAGAATATCTTCATAAATTCAATCTTGACTTTTAAGCAGCCTTCACTCTTGTCCTGCGAATTTTCTTGACTCTTCGGACTCGTTTTGCTAGCTTACGGCGCCTTCCGTATCCCTCTGCAGAACCAGTTTGGCTTCCAGTTGAAGGTGCTGGTCCGTTCTGCTGCGGTAGTCCTGAGCTGCTATATCCCGATGGTACATTTCCTTCCATAGGCATGCTTTGAAGTTGAGGCACGGCCGCAGGACTGTTAGGTCCTCCAGAGGTGCTGCCATCATCAGTAGCAACATCAGGAAGTTGCGATGAATCGTCCGCCGATGTTGGTGGAGCGGATTCATCGATTACTATAGGCTCGCTCTTGATTAAAGTTATCGGCAGCTCTGGAGGATACTTGCTGGATTCTTCGGAAGCGCTATTGCTCTGTACTGCAGCAGTTCCTGGAGAAGATGGCAAACCTGTTTCTGATGGGCTCTCAGATTGGGATGATTCATACGATGTAGATCCATCTGACTCGTATTCTTCCGATGAAACGATTCCAGGTTGAGATGGAGCATAGGCTGGTTCTGCCGCTGTGGTGCTAGATTCTACCGAACTGCTTCCGCCATACTGATCAACAGGCGTCTCTTGAACCGCAGGTGTGCCATATGAAGCACGAGGTGGGCATGGGCAATATGCGGCATCTTTTCCCGGTAATCCTGAACTTCCATGAGGACCAGGTTTTCCATGCTCTCCAGGACCACCTTGATTTCCTGGAGGTCCCATTGGTCCTTGTTGTCCTGGTTGACCGGGGCCTCCAGGCGGTCCTGCTTGACCAGGTTGTCCTATTCCTCCAGGTGGTCCTAGTGGTCCAGGAGGGCCAGGCTTCCCATGTCCACGCTTTCCGTTCTGTCCAGGAGGTCCAGGCTGTCCAGGCGATCCTGGAGGTCCATCAGCTCCCTTGTCCCCACTTGGTCCTGGAGCTCCTGGCTGTCCTGCGTCGCCTCCTGGACCCAGAGGTCCTGCTTGCCCGTCGGGCCCTGGAGGACCTATTGCGCCAGGTGATCCTGGTGGTCCTGCTGGACCAGCAGGGCATTTCACACATTCCGATACGGCCATTCCACTCTTTCCTGGTACTCCTGGTTCTCCTGCTGTTCCATCTTCTCCAGCTGTACCTGGTTGGCCAGGTGGTCCTGGCGGTCCCGGCGGACAATTGTTTGGTCCTGTTGCACAACTGCACGTTCCACCACTGCTGTTGTGCTTCTTGTGGCGAGATCGACGCGACTTCTTATGATGGCGACGGAATACACTACGTACATCTCTGTGGGCATGCTCTTTCGTCAAATCGATCATTTTGTCCCACGCGGTATTGGCATACATCTGAAAAGGAGGCTGGGTTCCCAAGAAAGAGAAAGGTTATTGAGAAGGCTGTAACTGTAACCTACCTGGAAGTCGCTCAGCTCCATCAAGACGGAATCGTGGAATTCATTCATCTCTTTGAATAGATAGCCGATGAATAGGATAGCCGTGAAGATGCTGATAGCAGCCGCTATGCTTGTAATGCCTACGACACTTTTGGTGAACATCGTGTTATGTATGTTCTCTGCGGTGGTGCTAGGTTTATATAGGAGGCACGATTTGACAGTTATGAATCGTTTTCTGCAACGTTTCTGGGTTTTACACCACAAATCGGAGGGCAGATAAGAGGAGTCTCAGTTTTCTTTCGCGGATCGCCTAGCGCATCGGTTCGAACGCCTCGATTTTTCTTTTCCAGGGGAAGATTGTCGATGTTGATGTTGGCATAGGCATCGGATAGGCGTTGCCTCTTTCGTCACTAATTTCTGA